GTGGAAACCCAGGCCCTCGTCCCTCGTGTCTCGCCAGGCTTCGTGAGCTTCGACAACCCGGCCAGCGCGCAGACCGCCATCCAGGCCATGAACGGCTTCCAGATCGGCATGAAGAGGCTCAAGGTGCAGCTGAAGCGGCCCAAAGACGCCAATCGCCCGTACTGAGCGCCGGCGGGAGCGTCCCCCGGGGGAGACCAGGACTCGCACAGGTAACCGGGGACGGCCGGGGCGCGGGGGCGGTGGCTTGGGGAGGGGATTCCGGACGGACCCGCCGCCTCCTCCGGCCTCCGTGGGCTTGGACCCTCGCTGGTGCCTTGGACCCGCTGCGCCGGCTCGACCTGCTCCTTGCCGGGTGCCTGGGGGCAGTCTCAGAGCTGTGGTCCTCCGGGCGGAACGGGACGAGGCCGTCCCTTGCTTTAGAACCTAGAGGGCAGGAGTGAGGGAACCGTTCAGAGATGCAGGCACCGGCCTAGGGCCCGTGCCTCCAGATCTCCAATGGCAGTTCTGTTTGCCAGAAACTCTGGGGTGAGCAGATGGCAAGAGCTCGGGGCAGAATGGGTTCTTAGGGGGCTGTAGCCACCTGTCCGGGCCTTCTCCCAGACTCCCTGGCCCTCCTCTCCCCAGTTCTCCTTTTGACCCTGAGTGGGGGGAGAATTAGACACTTGCCTCCTCAGCCCTCCTAGTCCCCATAGCTCAGCCAGAGGACAGGGTTTTTCAAAGGGCACTTTACCTAAATTCAAAACAGGATGGACAGAAGTCAAGGAGGGTGATGGTAAGGCACTGGAGCCACTTATCCTGCCTGCTTTGCTGGGGGCACGGGGAGGGGGCAGGGTTATGATGAGTAGGTAGTTGGCACTTTTTCCTGTTTAGTCTGGGTCCTACCTAGCAGCCACCTCTGCTACCTTTTTCTCTGGGGTAAGAGAGAGGGGGAGATGTGCCAGGCCACCAGAAGTCTACCATCAGCCTGGCTTCCCCCATTGCTGTGTGCTCCGGCAGCTCCAGTTTATTCACAGACCAGGGGCAGGCCTCCTGCCCTCTGTCCCTCCATTCCTTCAGTTGTAATTGTGCTGCTGGTACTGTGGTCAGGGGCTCCGCAGTGAGGAAGACTGATAGAGTCTTTGCCCTTAGCATGTGGCATAATCAAAGTAAATTACATAGTGTGTCAGCACTGATTACAGTTCAGTCAGGTAGCCAGTTAGGCTTGGTTGATAAAGTGACATTTTATCAGAGACTTGAAGAAGGTGAGGTAGGGAGGCTTGCCAGTGTTTGAAGGAGACAGACCTCTCTGAGAGAACAATGCAAAGGTGCCAGGGTGAGGAGGGTGTGTTTGAGAAACACTGGAGGCCAAGGTGGCTGGAGTGAACAGGCCAGGAAGGTGGGTGTGGTGAGAGAGGGGATCTCAGAGGTGGGGAAGGTCATGCCCCGTGGGAACCCTATACCCTGCAGGTCATTGTGTGGCCTTTAGCCTCCCCTCTGAAAGGGGGCTGGGGTGGGGAGCCATGGAGAGCTCTGAGCAGAAGAGCCATCTGGTTCTTTGGCATCATGATTCACAGCATCACCAGCTGCTGTGTTAACAGTGTGCAGGGACCAAAGCAGAGGCCTAGTGCATTGGACTCAGTCCAGGGAGACTGTGCGCTCTGCAGTGTAAGGGAGCTCTGGAAGCTACAGCAGGAAGAGGGTGCTGAGATAGGAGCAGGAGGAGCTTCTCAAGCTAGGCTTGCAGACAACAGTGGAAAGGAGCCCCTGTCAGGTACACAAACATGATTTACAGACCAGTAAATGTTGTTTACAAATAATGAGGCCTGTACCAGGGTCCTATATGAGCAAAAGAATAGGGCTTGCCCAAGTGGAGGCGGAGGGACCAGCCATAGCTACGAGCAAAGATGGTGAGGGGGACCTCAGGGTTAGGACTGGTGGTGGAGGCAGGAGATGCAGCAGGTGTGTTGGTCCAAGACCGCGTCAGAGCAGAGAGGGAGTGTGGCAGGTCTGGGGAAGGGGACAACAGGGCTCAGGCAAGGCAAGGGGGAGGGAGGCAGCTAGATTGGATTTGTGCTCATTAAAATATCAGTGAGGATGGTGGGAGGGGATCAGGTAAGCTCTTGACTTGCCCATGTCTCCCACAGTCCTATGACTCTTGTTCCTGTGGGTGTCTTGGCTTCCTTCTGCCCTGACCCCTCTGACTACTTGGGCTTATTCTGTGCTAAAAGGGGAGTTTCTCCAAGAGATCCTTGCCAAGAAACTAAGAAGAAAAATAACAAAGGTGGCCATGGCCAGGTCCATAGCCAGTGGGCAGATAACCCAAGTTCCTGTTCTGTCAGGACAGTGCCGCCTGACTCCAGTGGAGTCCGGGGCTCTGGGCTGTGGCTCTGAGTGGGCTTTTGCAGTGTTTGGGCAGAGCCTTACTGAGGCTGCTGCTTCAGGTCTGACCTGTTTGGGCCTGGGTCTCTTCTCGCTAGAGCCCAGCTGTTTTTAGGATCTGGCTTCTGAATTGGCTCAGCTCAGCCATAGTTCAGCTCCGTAAGGAACTCTCTACCGGTCTGTGACCTTCCAGACCTGATTCAGGGTGCCCCCACATGGGTCAGTCACCCTGCTGTTGCTATTGCCAGGGCTGTGCTCTGTGGAGCCCTGCCAGAGGTGGCCAGGTGTGGTGGGAGGGGATCAGGTCACCCTTGTAGGCAGAGACACAGCTGCTCCCCAATGAAGAGAGGAGTCAGCTGTGCACATGCAGAACCCCGGGGGAGGGTCCTTAGAGAGTGAGTGTGAGAGTGTGCTTGTGGGTTGGGGTTTGAGTGTATGTGAGAGAAGAGAATATGAGAACATTCCCTAGATGGAGCTTCAAGGAGAGGCTGTGGGATGTACAGGCCTGAGTATGCAATACCCAGAGCAGTGCCAGGGCACTGAAGGGCAGCTAGAATACAGTGGGAAGTCGGCACTGTACAAGGGGCACAGCACAGTGAGGAAGGGCCGGTGCCCCTGAGGTGCTCAGTCCTGGAGCCCTAGGGGTTCCTTAGTTGTAGTTGTCATGACACCGGATTCCCAGCCCTATCCTCCTTATTCTTAGATCCCTTCTTGCACCCAAAGCTGCCTGGCTGGGTCTAAGAGCTTTCCGGTGGGGTTGGAAATGCAGGGGAGGAGGGGGTATGTCAGCCTTGGACTGGTGATGGGCCCTGGTGTGAGTGAGGGAAAGCTGTTGTTGGGAGAACCAAGAACACTGTTTGTGTGGGCAAAGCAAGGCAGGCTCTGTGGAGGAGGAGGGGCCGGAAGTCCCCGGAAGGCAGAGCTGGAGGCCAGGTTTGAGCTTAAAACAGCACCTCTCAGCTACTTGCACCTAATCCACGGTGACATGTGACAGTTCCAGGCATCCCTTGATGGAGAGCACAAAGCTGAGAGTAGACGTCCCCTGCACATAAGCCCATGGACTAGAAACTGCAGATAAACCTAGTGCTTACCCTTGGCACAGGCCTGGGCACTACTGGGAAACAGGGGCCTGAGAGCAACCTGGGGGTAACCATAAGGAAAGGGTAGGGCGAGGGAGCCCCAACTCCCAGGGTGGGGCCAGGGACTGTGAAATGGCTAGAATATGATGGACAACACAGAGTGGGGTGTCTGACCAAGAGGGGACCTAGTCCCTGCCACTTCGGGCTCTGGCAGTGAACAGGGTAAGTCAAGGCTGTGAGAAGGGGCCAGTTTGGAGAGCTGTTTGTGGAGAGGTGTGGGGTACAGAGGCAGGAGGACCTGGACCCAGGGGGGTGGGCAGAGCAAAAGTGACAGAGGCAGAGACCCCAGGCCAGGCCATAGCATGCCACCCTCCAAGGGGTCCTGTTTTGCATAACCCACCTGGAAGGGAGCCCCACAGCCTTCCCTTTGATGGGGCAGAGTTGTGGAGCCTTCTAGAAGCTTCAGGTGCCAGAAGCAGCTTCAGGTTGGCCCCGGGGCCTCTGTGGGAGCACAGGGTATGAGGTGATTGTGGGAGGGAATCAGCTCGTAGCAGGCGTGCTCATAGAGTTCCAGGAAAGTTGATGGAACGTAGTCTCTACCTCAGAACTACACGTCTTCTCTTTCTGAAGGTCCTGAGGAAAGAGGGTTGAGGCAGAGGGGAGGGTGAGTGGATGCTGTTCCAGTGAACATCCCCCTCTCCAGGGATGGCAGCCCAGGTGGGACTGCCGGGTGGGAGGCCTGAGCTGCTGTCACTGTGGCCGGTCCCGTGGCAGCCCGGTGTTTGGGGGATGGACCCTGTGGTCCCCAGGCAGCCCATCAGGGTCACCTTGACAGGCTCCCCATGCTGGTCACAGGCTGAAGCCACAGCAGGCTGGGGAGGCGAGGGGGAGAGAGAGAGTCAAGGGTGATACAAGCAGAGAGCCTGCTCCCTGGTCTGCTTGCCGGCCAGGGTGGTTTGAGGGGCTGCTTTATTTTTTTCCGGCCCCCTTGCCAAACTGCCCATGCCCCCCTTCCTCTTCCCAATGCATGATGGGTGTCCTTAGTGGCCCTGTATGAGTTTTCTGCTACTGTTCACAGTGTATCATGTGTCTGCATAAACAACCGTGTGTGTATGTGTGTGTGTGCGCGTGCGTGTTGCTGTGCCCACGTCTTTGTCTGCCGGCTTCCTCCATCCTTTGAGTTCTTTTCAGTTCTCTTATGATTTGACTGCTGTTCTCTCATCAGAGCTTTTAGATTGATGCTGTGGTCTGGTGCTGTATAAGTATTTTTCTTTTTAATTTTGTTTTAACTTCTTCCTTGCCCTCCTTCATCCCCCTCACCCT